ACTATTTGTATGGACTTTCTCTCTTTTTTCCTTGGTGTTTATCTATACAAGATAGGCAGGATAAGCAATCCTAAGGAGGTGGCGATGGGACTGATGATTCTGGTGGGGGGGGTGTGACATGGGAGGGGAGGAGGGGAGCAGTAAGCCAATAATAATGGGGACAGAGGAACAGTAAGCATTCTAAAATTGATGGTGAGGAGGGTGCAGTTTTTCTGGTCATGTTTGATCAATCGAATTGTATCTGAGGGGAATTACTGAGAGGTGAACGATGGGTAAACATGATAGTGGGGCAGGATAAAAGAAAAAGGAAAAAGAAACAAAAATAATAAATATGTATATATGTAAATAAACATAAATGTGTATAACTGTAAATATATAAATATAAGTATACTTGTTTATATATATATATCTGTAAATACAATAAGGAAGCAGATGGACTCTGGGCCTCTACTTAAATCTTACCTAAGTAAAAGAATGATTTGTTCCAAGAATGTGGCAATACATGATATTCACCTTCCTGACATGATTTCTGAAGACAAATTGGGTGTATAAGCAATTGTGGTGAAGAAAGCTGATGGTGCCTGGTTATTAAAAGATATAGCATCTGGGGTCTTAAAGACTTGAAGACAAACAAGTGGCCATCTAGCTGACAAGCAACAAAGCCCACATGGAAGAAGCACATCAGCCTGTGTGATCATGAGGTGTAGATGGGAATAGGTATCAGAAGTTCAAAAGCAAGCAACTAAATCGATGTGAAGGGGTGTGGATGTAGTAGAGACCCAAAGCTCACCTGTAGGATAATTGGCCAGTCCCTCTCAGAAGGGCCACAAGACAGGGTTGATTAATCCTGGGTGTGGTATCGCACTGATGAACACATAACTATCCTCTAGTTCAGCAGTCCTCAACCTGTGGGTCGTGACCCCTTTTGGGGTCGAATGACGCTTTCACAAGGGTTGCCCAATTCATAACCGTAGCAAAATTACACTTATGAAGTAGCAACAAAAATAATTTTATGGTTGGGGGGGGTCACCACAACATGAGGAACTGTATTAAAGGGTCACAGCACTAGGAAGGTTGAGAACCACTGCTCTAGTTCTTTAATATTTCCTCCCTTTACTATTTTGGTTTTTGTTTTACCTCATTAATCTGGTTAGACTTGCATGTGTTCATTTGTACATTTAAGGTCATTCTATACATGAAAGCCAAGATAGATAACCTTCAGAAACAGTGGCAGGAATAATGGCTCCCTAGGG